ATTCTATTATTTAATATAATTTCAATAGAAAAGCAATATAAATAAATAATAGATCTTGCCATAATTAAATGCATTAAACATATGAAAAGTGTTTATAACCTAAATAGATTGGGTCTAGGGCATAACACTTACAGTTAGGAGGGGCCTCTCATTCACAAAGACAAAATGGGTGACGGACGAATGTTAAAATATGTGGTTGAAGCCGTGAAGCCATATATGCACACACTAGAGAGATGTAAATTTTAGACTAGATGGACAGAAAAATGTGAGAAATGTAGATTTTCCAATCAAAATCATTACATAAACGATGTTCACTTCATGGTAGACGGGTCCCCTTCAATTCCTTCGTGAGGGAAATGACCTTGTGAATAAAAATCTGATAGCATCAGATCTTTGAGGCTGAATGTATGCATCAACCATGAAGCTACTTTATCTTCCAACGTAGGAATGTCACTAAGGGGAACAAGCCGAACGTGGATGTAAACTTCAGAGGGGTCGATTTTAAAGGCATTATCCAAGAGAGTTGGGCAACGATGTCGGTATCCAATTATGACGTCATAAACTGCATGGATTGAAAATTTGGTTAAATTGATTGCCAACAATATTGGAAAATAATTTTGGCTCTGAAGGATGAGTATACAAATCCATGGTCCAACAGGGGACAAAAACATACTAGTTTGTATGTGGCACGTGTAAGAATAAATCTATTATGTGGGCTTTCATTTGATTGCAAATTTTATGAGTTAGATGTATGGTTTGCAATGATACTGTGATTAGACCCCAATATATGAGTGATTACTTGGACCGTTGTACACCTTACGGACTATATATTACTATAGTATGATAATTTTAAGTACGTGGACTGGAATTTTTGTACACCCTAATTAGGGTTTGAGTCGGTAATGGATCGATTATGATTTCCTATATAATGACTAGGTCTTCTTTCCTCTCCTCATCGTTTTGGTTTGCATTGACAGCTGATTATTTTAAGGAGCAAGGAGAGGAAGATCTAGCGAGTAATATTCACACACACACATAAAATGTATTCCGCATGTATGAATTTCGAACTATCAATTAATATATGTGATTCTTGTTCTTAGCATAATTATTGAATTATTACAACAACTCGTATCAGAACAACATGCTAAGATTAGAATCCATTAAACAATTAAACAAAATTAAAGGCAAAACCCGGCTATCTGAACTCTGCTCTCTCATCTTATAAAATAACTTTATTTTTCAATTCCCAGCTTTCCGTCTCCTCTCTCTTGTGTATACTCTCTGTGTATATATGTATAATTGCCACCAAAATAAAAAACAAAAACCCAACCTGCTTGTATGAATTCTTGATTCTTGATGACCACTATGAATATTGTGAATTTACTTTTGGTTTGTATATTTGTCTTCCCCGGCTTCTGTCTCTTCCATCTGTGTGCATATGTGTGTATACTATTTCTTATCTCTCGCATAAATGGATATGGAGCCTTTTAAATTTTTCCCAAATCAAATTCTGCAGCTCCGCCCGCCTGTGTGTGTGAACCGTGTGTGTTTGTGTGTTGGCATATGGGTCCTTAGTTTGCTGGGTCTATATATTGTTGAGAAAATTTGTCGCCGTAGATAACACGCCTCCAATGATAATTCAAGAGGAACTCCAAATTATATGTAATAACAATCAAAAGAAAATAGAAGACTAAGAAGAAAACTTGAATTCCAAAGAATGTTGTCCTAAAAGCTATATTTGGGCTCTCTCGATAATGAGAATACTAAAGGACTAACATACAAATAGCTTTAGCAGATTTCAAGTTAAGAAACCGGGTTGCAATGAGCACTATTGAAACTCGAAAAGAAGGAACGAGAGAAGAATTTTAAATAATTCTAAATATAATTTTGAGAGAGTTTTGGGATGATTATTTCAAAGTATATAAATGAGAATTGATATATTAATCCATGAATTCTATTCCNGCACTTTTGAAACCCGGAAATAAGAAACAAAAAAGAGTAATATGAAATAATTCTAAGTAGATTTTGAGAGAATTTGGGGATGATAAAATGAGAAAAGATTGATTCTGAACCTTGAATTCTATTCCTATTTATAGAATTCCTTTATATACTTTCGTATGAGTGCCAAAAAAAGGGGTCACCATGAGGTGGTAGGCTACTCAGATTCTGATTTTGCTGGATGTCAAGATGATTTGATATCAACCACATGTTATATTTTCATGTGACGGTGGTATTATCTCGTGGAAAAATGTTAAACAAACTCTAGTGGCATCTTTTACTATGCAGGCTGAATTTGTGGCATTTTATGGAACTACAATTCAAGTCATTTGGTTAAGGAATTTTGTTTTTGGGCTGAAAGTTGTTGACTCCATCTCGAGGCCAATCACTATTTATTGTGACAACAGTGCAGCAGTGTTCTTTTCAAGAAATAATAAAAGTTTTAGTGGATCCAAATACATTGATATCAAATATTTGGTGATCAGAGACAGAGTCAATGAGGGGTAGACGAAAATAGAGCATATCAATACAGATGTAATGATTGCAGATCTTTTGACTCAGCGACTCGCTGCTAAAGTTTTTAAGACACATGTTGTTAATATGGGTATTGTGGAAACCTTTGATATTTTTGGTTAATGAGAGTTATTTGTGTAAGGCAATCCATATGTTTTTCGTGTACAACCCCTTCTAATAATAAAATATATTTTTCCCCTATCCATAAATTATTTTGAGCATACATTTGACTTATGTCTTTTATTATGATATTATTTTGATATCGAGATATGACAATTAAAGACATAATATGAGTCTCTTTTAGAGGCGCGTGACTTCATTTTGATTAGAAGCATTTTGAGGATAGATATGAATTAGCAAAGTTTTTTTTATCACAGTTGATGCTAAGTTTATACTGTATACTACCACATTGGTTGGAAGGTGGGGATCCATGTCGATAAGGATGTTGTTATTTGTAGTTGTGGAGTGGTCTTACATCGTTTGATTGGTGTAATGGCTTCCATGTTCGATGTTAACGTTCTTGTTGCACCGGATCATGTTGTGTAAGGTGTTATCATTACAGCTATACTTGTGTGGCCACCTATGTAGTCTGACCTGAATGTTAAAAGTTTTGTTCTATAACAATCAAATGTTTGCCTAAGCGGGAGAATGTTAGAATAATTCTATTATGTAGGCTTCCATTTGATTGAAAATTTTACGAGTTAGATGCATGGTTTGCAATGATATTGTGATTATGCCCAATATATTAGTGATCACTTGGGCCGTTGTACACCTTACGTGTTATATTATTATAATGTGAGAATTTTAAGTATGTGAGCCGGAATTTTTGTGAACCCTAATTAGGGTTTGAGTCGGTAATGGACCGATTTTATGATTTCCCATATAATGGTTAAGTCTCCTCTTCTCTCCATATCGTTTTGGGTTGCCCCATTGAAGGCTGATTATTTTGAGGAGCAAGGAGAGGAAGATCTAACTGGTAATATTCACATACACACAAAAATATCACTTAGGTTTTTGTTCCAAATGCTATTATAGGAGGTATTAGTCTTTCAAACAATCTTTCAAACTTTTTGGTGTTCGTCCCATGCACCATTCATTGTAATTTCCTACTTTCATTAATTGTAATTTCTAACTTTCAAGCAATAAATGATCATTTTACTTTCAATGCATTTCAATTTCATATTGCAGGTTTTCTACAAATTGTAATTAAATTGTCTTTCATCCCCGAAACGACCGAAAGAAGGCGGAAGGTAGTCTAGCGGAGTAGACTACTGCCGCACGGTGTCCCTTTCTGTGCTAAGAAGAAAGGTAACCCGTGAAAGTTGGTATCAGAGCTGCGGCTCAAGACCCTCGATAAGAAAGCGATGGATACAATGGAACCGGACACCACGGAGGTGGTGGATCCTCAGA